ACTGTTGGGACTGTATTGGACAGGTGATGAGCAGTGCCTGGTTTTCTCCACACATACCGCTTAGAATTAAGGCCAAAAAGTTCTATCTTGGTCTCATCAGACCAGAGAATCTTATTTCTCACCATCTTGGAGTCCTTCAGGTGTTTTTTTAGCAAACTCCATGCGGGCTTTCATGTGTCTTGAACTGAGGAGAGGCTTCCGTCGGGCCACTCTGCCATAAAGCCCCGACTGGTGGAGGGCTGCAGTGATGGTTGACTTTCTACAACTTTCTCCCATCTCCCGACTGCATCTCTGGAGCTCAGCCACAGTGATCTTTGGGTTCTTCTTTACCTCTCTCACCAAGGCTCTTCTCCCCCGATAGCTCAGTTTGGCCGGACGGCCAGCTCTAGGAAGGGTTCTGGTCGTCCCAAACGTCTTCCATTTAAGGATTATGGAGGCCACTGTGCTCTTAGGAACCTTAAGTGCAGCAGAAATTTTTTTGTAACCTTGGTCAGATCTGTGCCTTGCCACAATTCTGTCTCTGAGCTCTTCAGGCAGTTCCTTTGACCTCATGATTCTCATTTGCTCTGACATGCACTGTGAGCTGTAAGGTCTTATATAGACAGGTGTGTGGCTTTCCTAATCAAGTCCAATCAGTATAATCAAACACAGCTGGACTCAAATGAAGGTGTAGAACCATCTCAAGGATGATCAGAAGAAATGGACAGCACCTGCGTTAAATATATGAGTGTCACAGCAAAGGGTCTGAATAGTTAGGACCATGTGATATTTCAGTTTTTTTTTTTTAATAAATCTGCAAAAATGTCAAAAATTCTGTGTTTTTCTGTCAATATGGGGTGCTGTGTGTACATTAATGAGGAAAAAAAATTAACTTAAATGATTTTAGCAAATGGCTGCAATATAACAAAGAGTGAAAAATTTAAGGGGGTCTGAATACTTTCCGTACCCACTGTATGTATAAATAAAAAATAAAAAAAATACTAAAGTGATTCAGCGAAGAGCAGTGAGTGATTTTCCTCACACCCACCCCCAATTATTATTATTATTTTTTTTATTATTAAGATTAAGGACACAGGCAGTAGCAGGTATATTAGGATGCTGTCACTTTAAGACCTAATGCACAGATTCAATATACATCTGATAATCTCCCAGCTGTTCACATTCACTTAAGACATAACTGACTGTGTTCTCATGAATACTCACTAAAATTGACATTTTGACACACTTGTCTGTGTATTTGTCCGATAAAGAGCGATAGGACCCAAAAGAGAACTCAATTCAGTACTCATACACTGTCAGAGATGCAGCTTTCTGTGTGTGCGGTTCGGTTGTGTGTGCACAGAAAACAGTACCAAACTGAATTCTCATTCACACCGTCACAGTTATTCAAATTCATCCAAATCATCTCTCCCTAACATTTTACTCTTGTTTTCATTCATTGATGACAAGACTTACTTTTTTAAGTAACTTACTTTTACTTTTTTGCCATCCATAAGTGGTTTTAGTTAGTTATCTTCTCGTTGTCAACAGTGAAACAATTTTGTTGACTAAAACCGTGAACGGAAATTATTCATCAGCAAAACTAGTAAATGATAAATTCATACACTGTATTGGTTTAAGGAACATTTTTTGAATCAATAAAGCATATGATGGTGGTGTGTTCGAAGTGTGTTCAAGTACAAAAATGAATTCTCAATTCTTGCTTTTGAAGACAGACGCAGTGCCTTTGCTGACCCCATCCTGCCCTTCATATTGACCGCAGTAGGCAGCTGCATGCTTGTGGGTGTAAAGGTTTCTCAGGTGCAAGCTGGGGCAGAACGTTTAATACATAGCAGGAAATGTAGGCAGACAGAGCACTGACACTGTACTTTAGACATTTGCTATCACAGCATGACTTCTGCTTTTCCTTTGACCGGCAAACAAGCATGTTTACATGCAGGACCATTTAGTCATTATGCAGCGACTTTTTCAACCAGCAATTTTTGTCCTAAAATCTTTTAGCATTTTCCCTGGCACACAAAATGTATTTAATTTATTTTTATTTTTTTTGCTTTTTAAAGTGCAAGACAATCAGTTCTACAGTACAATTTCCTGCCTCAGGACATTTTTGGATAGTAAGGCAAAGAAGGACTTCTGTCTCCCTTTCAGCATTCAGAGAAGCCTACTGTAGGTCATGTCCCTAAATGTGTCCTTAAATGTAGTCAGAAAGTACAGATCATTTAAAAAATACCTAATTAACCTTTAGGTGACAGAGCACACTTTCATCCTGTACAGAGCCAGGAAAACAAAAAAACACATGTGTTACCTGAGCTACCTACACTACCTGGCTCTAAATCAATGCTTGAGATGTAAAGTTGTGTTAGATTGAGGAGGTAACCATAGCAACAGCACTCAGCTTGAGCGCTTTCCATTAGGATCAGTATGGGACGGTACATCGGCACATGCAGTAGGTACTGTTATTCTCACTTTATTACAGATTTATGCATCACATATATATTACAAAACACAAAAAGACATTAAAGTCATGTTGTAGTATTATTTATGATTGGTGAATGAGACTGAAACAAAATTGGATTGATTGATGATAAATATAAAAACCTGTTTATTGCGTATTTAAAAGAAATCTTACTCATTTCATTTGTGTATGACTGACAAATATGCATCACATTAAATGGTCCCGCTTAATATTAGGTGTCTTTAACTACCATGTGTTTATATCAAATATGTATTTATATCAAATATAATGAATTGTTTAGTACAATGTACTTACAGTATTGAGTTCATGTTGAATTGCAAAACACTTTTGCTGCTCTTACGGTAAGGTTAGGGGCAGGTTTGGTGGTCTGGTTAGGTTTAGGTGTGGGTTAACAGGTAATGTAACAACAAAATTACAGATGTAACTACAGGAAGGTGTTTTTAAATATAAGTACAATATCAAAAACAAACAAGTTGCTTATTAGCATGCATATTACTAGCATATTGGCTGTTTATTAGTACTTATAAAGCACATAATAATGCCTTATTCTGCATGACTATATTTTAGATCCCTTGATCCTATTCCATACCTAATTACTAGCTTACTAATAACTACCTTACTAACTATTAATAAACAGCAAATTAGGAGTTTATTGAGGCAAAATACATAGTTAATAGTGGAAATTAGACCTTGAAATAAAGTGTGACCACTGAAATGTATGATTTATTGATAAATTATGATTTTACTTGTTATGATTTGTACTTGGTTTCAATAAATATACAATTAAATGAATTATTAATTATTAAATGTGATATTGTATTGATTGTTTTTAATGGTATAAAAAAATTTTTTTTTTAAATATAATGTATTTATTTATTATCAATTTTCACCTATGTTGTACTTGTTTTATCTTCCCCCATCCTAATAATTTCAGTCAAATCTCTTAGAAAGGTAACAGCTCACCCCTCCTCAACAGGCTGTATTATTTGAGGTATCATTCATGCCTGTCGCACAAACGATTCAGAAAGAGTTGCACATTAAATCGTAATAGCCAGGGTTACGACTTTATTCATATAGTATCAGCAATAAAGATAGTGGTGCTTGCTTTAGCAAGAGCCACTAAAATCCTGAATGATCTTCCTGTGTATGGGCAAATGCAATTGCATTACACCATTACTTTGAAGTTCAGCGGTTAGAAAACAATCATGGAGATGCTTTTATGATTATAGGAAGAGCTGATAAATGGAATGAACTCTCTCTCTCTTCCTCTGATATCTGTGCTGTGGTTCTGTGCGCAATAAGCTACCTAAATCCCCCAGGCCTGGATTACAGTTCTGAGGGGATTTAAGTGTCGGCTTGACAGGTGCTACACAGTCAATAAGTTAGCATCTTTACTAGAATGGCATCTCACAGCATGCCATCAGAAAAATATTAGTACTTATAAAGCACATAATAATGCCTTATTCTGCATGACTATATTTTAGATCCCTTGATCCTATTCCATACCTAATTACTAGCTTACTAATAACTACCTTACTAACTATTAATAAACAGCAAATTAGGAGTTTATTGAGGCAAAATACATAGTTAATAGTGGAAATTAGACCTTGAAATAAAGTGTGACCACTGAAATGTATGATTTATTGATAAATTATGATTTTACTTGTTATGATTTGTACTTGGTTTCAATAAATATACAATTAAATGAATTATTAATTATTAAATGTGATATTGTATTGATTGTTTTTAATGGTATAAAAAAATTTTTTTTTTAAATATAATGTATTTATTTATTATCAATTTTCACCTATGTTGTACTTGTTTTATCTTCCCCCATCCTAATAATTACAGTCAAATCTCTTAGAAAGGTAACAGCTCACCCCTCCTCAACAGGCTGTATTATTTGATATTAAATGTGATATTGTATTGATTGTTTTTAATGGTATAAAATTTTTTTAAAAAAATATAATGTATTTATTTGACCTAAAATATCAATTTTCACCTATGTTGTACTTGTTTTATCTTCCCCCATCCTAATAATTTCAGTCAAATCTCTTAGAAAGGTAACAGCACACCCCTCCTCAACAGGCTGTATTATTTGAGGTATCATTCATGCCTGTCGCACAAACGATTCAGAAAGAGTTGCACATTAAATCGTAATAGCCAGGGTTACGACTTTATTCATATAGTATCAGCAATAAAGATAGTGGTGCTTGCTTTAGCAAGAGCCACTAAAATCCTGAATGATCTTCCTGTGTATGGGCAAATGCAATTGCATTACACCATTACTTTGAAGTTCAGCGGTTAGAAAACAATCATGGAGATGCTTTTATGATTATAGGAAGAGCTGATAAATGGAATGAACTCTCTCTCTCTTCCTCTGATATCTGTGCTGTGGTTCTGTGCGCAATAAGCTACCTAAATCCCCCAGGCCTGGATTACAGTTCTGAGGGGATTTAAGTGTCGGCTTGACAGGTGCTACACAGTCAATAAGTTAGCATCTTTACTAGAATGGCATCTCACAGCATGCCATCAGAAAAACAGCTCCAGCCTGGACTGAAGATGCTAAGACTGTTCTGATGTCTACAAAACTATCCTTCAAATCCTGCGGGTTTGGACGTATTGTTCTTTTATGTTCTTGCCATTAGATTTTCTTGTGAAACGTTGTTGGATGGAGGTTTGCATTGAGCTTTGTTTGACAGAGCGATTGTTAGGATAGAAAGGCAGGAATCGGAGGAAGCAAAGCGCAAGAAAGAAATCAAGGACTCTACTAGTAAGTCGGCAACAACAGAGCAATGTGTGCCGCCGTCCTGTCTGCCAGTCCAGTCACTTCTGTCGTGATGCCCCCAACATTAGCTCCTCAAATGAAGCCCGCGCTTGCTACTAAGCTGGCAACACCTCCAGCCCGAGTACCGACCCCAGTGTTGGCAGCTGCCTGCTCTAAAGCTCTTCACAAGCTGACTCTGTCACGACTCATGGCGGGATTCTTTTGGACGGGGGATAATTCTGTGTACGGATCCAAATGGAAGCTGGGCTTATTTGGTAAGAGTTAAAAAATCTAGAAAAATTTATTCTTACCGTCTTTGTTTTTAAATAAACTTATTGAATTGCTTCAGTTTAGTTGATTACGAAAGTAATTTTGTGAAGTGGCATTTCTTTGAAAGATTATTCAACATGCCCTCTGACCCATACATCAAGGCTTATGTTCAATATATTGCTTTTTAAAGTAATTTTATGTTTTTGTCACAGTTCTAGTTTGGTGTTGATGTAGTCTGTGCCAATACACAAATTTGTGATCTTAGCACTTGACCACTTGTCTAATTGCATGACCTATTTCTTGCATTTGGCCCAAGTGTTCATAAAGACTATAAGCTTGTGTACAACTTTTGATTACCTGATGGGACAAATTTAAAGTATGACAGCGTTGTAAAAACTGTAAGCAACTGTTTTACAGAGCTTTATTTAGACATTTTGATTTGTAATTCTTTGCAATAAAACTTCTAAATGTCCCTATGGAACAGACAACACAATTTAATTATGGTGCTTTTAAGTTATAAAAAGCAATTGCAATCATTTTACAAAATACACATACTCATCTCTGCATCAATAAAATGTGCAACACTTCACATTTCACTGCTAAATTGTGTTATAGCTAATTAATTTACCTTAAAGTGGAAATTTTTCTTCAAACCCACAATTTCAGGGCACATGAGATCCTGAACATGATGAATGATGGGTACATGTAGCTTCAGCTACTGCTCCAAAGCGGTATTAGAAATAGTGTGGATATAGTGTGTGTTAAGGGCACTGAACTTTGGCATTTTGCAGACCTGGGACAGTCTTACACACTTAATTCCTGTCTCATGCGCTTGCTCTCAAGTGGCCAAGACCAGTTAAATGGATCACAAAACTCATGGTTCAGAATTCTGAGTCATAATTGGATCATTTTTCAGATCAGTAAAATAGATCAGGGGTTGAGACAAACACTTTATGCACTTATTTGATACCACAGCAAAAGTTACAAGCTTAACTAAAAAATGTCAAACATTATTAATGACAACTGAACAGTTAGTAATAAAATAAGAGAAAATATGCAAATTACAAGCATAAATAAATAGAAAAGAATAAAGTTTTAAATAAATAAGGTCTAATAGTAGTATTCAGGTACAGAAACATACTAATTAAGTGTAAAAGAAAATGCATGTTCACTGTATACATTAAATATAGATTAATCTTTGTTAAAGCTGTGTCTTGTTGTTTGATTAACATAAATGACACAGACAGCAGCAGGTATTTATAGGCTACTGTCACTTTAAGACAGATCCAATATAATGACACACATACCATTTCTTTCTGTTTACATTCATTTAAGACATATCCGACTGTGTTTATGAGAATACTTTCTGAAATGGGTATTTTGAGATAATTTTGTGTGTGTGTCTTTTGTTTGTTAATAAAAATGTCAATATGTTATATTAGGTTGAACTTTGTCCCTGCATTTCCATGCTAAATTAAAAGTTCTACCACAAGAAGTAAAGTAAAATAAAGTAAAGTAAAGTAAACAAAAATGTTTTACAATTTGTTACTTTCTTTCTGTTTTCATTTAAGACATATCCGACTGTGTTTATGAGAATACTTTCTGAAATGGGTATTTTGAGATAATTTTGTGTGTGTGTCTTTTGTTTGTTAATAAAAATGTCAATATGTTATATTAGGTTGAACTTTGTCCCTGCATTTCCATGCTAAATTAAAAGTTCTACCACAAGAAGTAAAGTAAAGTAAAGTAAAGTAAACAAAAATGTTTTACAATTTGTTACTTTTTGTAATTTGTGTTAAATACTTAAAATATCACATAATCTGCAAATCTATAAGTCAACTGTGAGGCTTGTAAAATTGCAAATGCTTGACAATAAAAAAACAGCATCTGAATGTCACTGCTGTCATAAAATATTAACCCAATAACTATTTTTACTTGCTCTCCTCGGTTGTTTACAGTGTACCGGTGTGACATTTGGCTTCATCAACGCATTGAGAGGTCAAGAAGGCTGATTTCTTTTGTTTGTCATGATGGAAAGGCACCTGTTTGTACAAGGGCTGACATATGGGCAATCCTTTTAAGCTTTAATTCCCTGATGGATGCTGCTTGAGAGGTTTACCTTACTTCTGTCTGGCACACATCCTGCAGACGAGCCCCTTTGACCTGCTATGTGGCAACGTTAGAGGATCACCTCTGTTAAACAGGCTTAAATGCCACCAATTGCTGCAGCTTCTTTTGACTCTTTGGTGACGTTGACTTAACTGATAACAGTTGTAACGTCTTTTTGCCAACAAGGCTGTTGAGCCACCTAGATTATCTGAGTATCCAAGCTGGTCAATGAACAACACGACTAGTCAATTTGTTTTTTAAATTTCCATTCAGGTTTCTCGAACGCCTCAACCATGAACCTGGTTTCCATAGCAACCATTTCAGACCCACTAGAGGGTATAACACTTTATTGATGAGGTACCACATGGGAAACGCTTGCATTAGACTGCTTTTGCACAACATGGGACACATTCACTAAAGCATTCTTTTTTTGGCATCTACTGTTCAAGCAATCAAAAAGCGGTTCGGCTTAACCCCTATTGATTCTGAACTTCCTGCTGTGTATTCAGCAACAGGGATCAGATCTATTTAAAAGACCACTGCTCTTGCGAGTGTAACAGGGTCAAAACGGTGTTTCCACTTGCTACACTCATTTTTATGTATGGTCCCTTTAATTGCACTCTACCTGCACACTCCACCCAGATAATGAACTAGTTCCGGTAGGGTCATTTAGATTCGCGCCAGCCGAGAGAGTGACTGGCTGCGGTGAGTGAGTGCTCCGTGATAAAAGTATATTGTATTAATTGTATAACCATCTTATGGACTAATATTGATAAATACGTGTGTTTAAATGAATACTGTATGATTTGTGTTCATGCTACATTATATTTGTGGTAACATCAAGTTTGTTCACCTTATTATAGAGCATGCCACGAGGGTGATTTGCGAATCTGATCACCGCTGTTTAATATGTTGTCAACAGAATAAAAGTCTGTCTTCAAGCGCGAATTGGTATCCATCCTGAGTTTTACACAACACAACGCAGAGACAACCCGTTACAATGGTGCCGTGACCGTGACTCTGGAAGCAGCGTGCTGAAACGACTGATCGGAGATTTCCAGAGGAGTTCGTGCCGTGGGTGACGAGAGAGTTTTCGTGTCGGAGCTGTTTGGCGCAATACCGTTTGTGCCCACAAGGAGTAAAGGAACACGTTTCACCGTTGAGAGGAGCAAAGTTCTGGTATTGTGGTGTCCATTTGAAAGCATTATTGACTTATTTTACAACAATAGCCGTTGAAGATTGAACTTTGAAGTATTTTTTTTGTGAAAAAAAAAAGAAGAAATTTTCGATGAGGGTTATTGATAAGTATTATTGTGGAGAAGACTGAAATCTGAACTAATACATTTTTACAGAACTTTGGACTGAGAACATTTTGAGAACTGAAGATTGTTTTTTTTTCTGAGGGTTTTTCTGAAGTTCTGAAACAACAGTTCTTATCAAGAAAAGGAGTGTATATATATATTTTTTTATTTGGATAATAATAATTTTTTTTTGTTCAGCATTGGTATTGTCAATATAGGATATGGAGTCAGAGAACAGTTTTGGTAGAGGTAGAGGTCTCTTCATGTTTTCTCCTATGCCATCAGTTGGGAGAGGCAGACTTGATTATACTCCTGTCACATCGACTCCAATGTCTGCCTTAGAGGCTGTTCAAGATGTAAATGACTATTCAAGTCCTCGACCACCTCAGTTTAGTGAAGGTGGACTGAAACAACCAAGTCTGAGAGGGGATGAGTCGATGGAATTAATAGTGGGGATGGTAGAACGAATGGGACGCTCTATTGGGGAGAGCATTGCTTCCTGTTTAGAGTCTAAAATGTGTAGTTCAAGTAATGCGGACTCATCTGTCTTGAACAGAGTTCTAACATCTGAAATCAAAGAACCTGTTTGTTTTAGGGGTGATCGGGCTGATCCATACACAATACATGAGTGGGAAGCCATAGTGCTGTCATATTTGCGCAAAATAGGGATGCCAGTCGAAGAACAAGCTGATGAAGTCATGAGTAGGCTTATGGGGCGGGCACGGGAAGTTGTGAGGGTGGGCTTGCGCAGTAACCCCTCTATTGATTTGTCCAAAAGTCCAAGTCCTATTTTTGATTTGCTGAAACAACACTTCAGTGACACAGCTTTTTCTAGCATGCCATTAGCTGATTTTTATAGCACACTCCCACGCACTGGTGAGGACCCCTTTGATTATTGGCTGAGGCTAAATAGAGCCATGGACATGGCCGAGGACTGCTTAAAGAGACAAAATAAGAAGACTGATGATATGTCCCATGAGCTCACTGTAATGTTTATCAGACATTGTCCAGATCTTGAGCTTTCACTAATTTTTAAGTGCAGATCGTTGGAGCAGTGGACAGCAGCTGATGTACATGCACGTTTGGAAGAGTATGGTAGAGAGAAACGATGTAGCTCTGTGTCTAGAGTGCCCCCAGCCATTCCTCTTCTGAAACAGGAAGTTGCTGTTCAGCCTACTGAAACAAAGGTTGGAGCATATCAAGGAAAAACTGCTGGCTGAATTTATGGTGCATTAAGCTGGCACTGTCTCACAGAACTTTTGTTAAACCCACCTACATTCTATTTAAAGGTTTAATTGGCAAATCATCCAAAAAGGTTGCAGGTTCCTTTCCATATTCATAAAATATATGTTCTTTATCACCTGCAAAGAACCCTCTTCATATCATGAACTATTTTCTGTCATTCTTGAGTGTTTTATTTTTGGGGGTAGCTTAAAGTCAACATGAAATTCAAACCGACTCCATTTACTCTCTTAATGCACATTCCTGGTCTTATTGTGAATGATTAATTGGTGCATGTTATTAAAAAGAAAAGTTTGTCTTTGTAATCCTTCTTCAAAATGTAATAACTTGCTCAACCTCTGAAATGAACCTGTGTCAAAAAAGCTATTTAGAAATTCTTTAAGGCTGCCATTTGGAAATGCTGCCTTAAAAAAAAATACCTACAGTTAACAATAATTCAGTGCAAGTTAACATTAATTCAAATGACAACAGACCATTATTTTAGTATTGTTGAATATAGTATATATATATACATATTTCTGCCATGACAGCACATGACCATGTTAATGTATTTGGTCTTGGCAGAATAGATCTGCTACGCTGCTGCTGCGGCAGAGCAAGTACCGAGACTTACTGCTGTGAGCATGTAAGAAATATTGCTTCTGCAAATATAACATACATGGAATAACCCCCATATAGCATACATGAATCACCTCATAGCAGATCTAGAGTTTCATGCCAGAACTCTGTATATATATATATATATACAGTATATATATCATGGGCATAGCTTGTGGGGGGGCCAGGGGGTCCTGGCTCCCAAATAGCGATTTAAGAATTTTACTAAATATTTATTTATAAAGTTTTCTCTATGAAGTAAAAATTTATATAATGCAGTTCATAATACATGTAAAAGTGAATACGTAAAAGTAAATGCATTTTAAATTGTTATTGTAAGTAAATTAATAAATCAAAACAAGCTTAACGTCTGTCTCAATCTCATTTGCGTAAGAATTGTCACGTGACGAATCTGCATTTTGGTGGATAATAGACTTAACGGTAATGCTTGCCTGTTGTGTGGAATAAAATGATGTTCCGCGTTTTTAACAACATACACGAATTGCAGAGAAATCTGGAGACAACGAAAAACTCTGATGAAGATATTAATGCCGTGCTTAATGATTCCGGACTCAGACAATCAGATAAAGGTGATCCACAGGACGCAGCCGGTTTAGCCGCACACTACTTTTATGCCGACCATTTACATAATGTTATTTAATTTTCACAGAACACAACCTTTAAATAGATTTTAGAATATAAACTGTTTATCGTCTATTCAATAAGACTAAATAAAAAGTGTGCGCCTCATTGTGCATTAACTTGAATCAAGCCCAACAAATGTCTGTTTTAAAAACAGTGGATGAGTAATTCACTCCTTGATTTGCTTAATAAAAGCCTCCTTTGAGATCGTTTTGACAGACATGTTTATTGTGCATTTTAAACGTGTTTATTGCTAAGTTTAATGTGGCAAAATAGAAGCGCAGCTGTAATTCGTGGGCAATGTATGTGGTTACCATGACAACCTCACGCACTTGCCACTGCTCTATGTGAATGTGAATATGTAGATTTACTATAGCAAAACTAAAATGTGTTTAAAAGTACGTCTGACCAAATCCACCGGTTCGGTTTGGCCCCCCCCCAAACTCAAACGTCAAGCTACGCCTATGATATATATATATATATATATGTATAGTTGAACTACAATGCATTCAGGTCAGTTCTGGTATGGAATGCATACTTTTCATAATCCAGTATTTCCAAATGCAAAAAAAAATCAAGTCCTGCACTTCATTTTTATATAGGTTGTTTTCTACAAAAGTAGCTGTAAAACCCTTTTTTTGGTTCTAATTGGAACTATAAATGATGTATTTTTATAAGTTACAAGTACTGATGACCCTGGGATCACTATTCCATCGTCGCTTGGCCTTGAACAAGGTACTTTAGCCATGCAGTCAGAGTACCGTCATTTTGAATAACACATAAGCGTATACACCAATCACTCAAACCTGGATTTAGTGATCCGCTAAAATCTTCTTATATTACATCCTGTCTGTCGATGCTCCCGGCATAATTATCAAATAAAGAGCCACCTCAGATGAGCTCTGCCAATATTAATACCACATTAGTACTAAGAGATGGAAACAGCAGACGCAGAGCAATGGCACACTATTGTGAACTCATCACTGATTATTATACAATGGTCTCTCAGCTCATCTGCTGTTTATATAACAGCGGTCTGTTCTCTAAAGAAACTTCTTTACCAAAGCCAGATCTACTGTTGTCTTAAGTGTTACTTCACAGTCTTTGTGTTCATGAGTGCATGAATAATGAAAAACAAAAATCTTGCTGTCATCTCAGTTCCTGAAGGGAGTTTGGTGGGGTAAACTCTGCTAGGATTTTGTTCTTGTTAGTTTTTTGTCCTTGCACTGTTATGACACTTAAAGCACCATGTTTCTGGGCATGTACCATGGCAATGCTATGAATATATCAAAGCATCACTTGTCACGCTCCTGCTACAGTCTTTTTTTATAAGAGTAAATTGGAAATGTTAATGTTGGAGCATTGCTTGGTCATTTCAGATAATTCCATTTTCAGGGTAATTTTCCTCTCAGTGTTGAAACATTAGTTTTAACAGGTTCAGCATTTTACAACCACGTGTCAATTGTGAAATTGGGAGGAAATTTAAGAGTGAATGTACCAGTTATTTAAAATCCATGATTGTTTCCAACAAGCTTTCATAAGTACAGGATGAACAGAGAAACACTCAATCTTTCCGAACAATAGTTGTGGTGTGAGAGGAGAGTGATGTTTGAAAATGAAACATATTGGATTTCGATCAGGTTCATAAAGGTCACAGTAATGATTGCTGGCCGCTTTGAGCAGATATTTTGATGGATGGTTAATCCTCTGAGTAACGCACACAAACACTGAAAAATGCTGAAAAATCCTTATTTGGGGTTTGCCAATAATATTCTGTGGTGCCGACAACTTAACCTCAGCCATCTGAAATGATAAAAATATCTTTGGTGTATTTTCACTCTCAAGTGAGAGTTGGATCTTGGCAAGAGTTGTCTTTCTTTCATACGCAACACAATACCATTTGGAGTGGAGAGTTTGTGCGATATTCAGTCATCTAATGATTTGTGTCTCTGTTCTGTTAGTGGAGAAATGCATGAGCTCCATGCAGACGGGCACTCAGATGGTGAAACTGCGTGGAGGATCCAAAGGCCTGGTGCGCTTTTTCTACTTGGACGAGCACAAGTCCTGCATCCGCTGGCGGCCCTCTAGGAAGAATGAGAAAGCCAAAAGTAAGTGTCATTTTTAGCGTATTGCTTTTTATTAGCCTTCTCTATCACTGACCATGATTTATTAGGACCTTGAATCTCAGTAACACTTTAGATTAGGGAACAAATATTCACTATTAACTAAGAGTTCTCCCTCAATAAACTCCTAATTTGCTGCGTATTGATAGTAAGTAAGGTAGTTGTTGTAGTAGTTATGTTTAGGTATCGGGTAGGGTTAAGGGGTCTAAAATATGGTCATGGAGAATAAGACATTATATGCTAGTAATATGCATGCCAATAAGCAACTAGTTAATAGTGAATAGTTTTCCCTAATCTAAAGTGTTACCAAAATCTCATTACTCAGATGCTGCTCTTTTATTGCTCAGGGAATCTTTCTCCTTCACTCTTAAAAACAAAGGTGCCAAATAAAGGGGGTTTTTGGAGTGATGCTATAAAATAATCATTTTGGGTTCCCCAAAATGTCCTGCGTACCTATCACCACTACAAACTTCTGCCTCACTTATCGGACACTCATTTTTGGTTTTGCTGCCACTATTAACGAGCTGATGAGTTGAATCAGCTGTGTTAGATGAGGGGAAATTTCGGTGCATCTCAATCAGCTTCCTAGTTCAGTAGTCAGGGCACTAATCAGGGAGTCAGCGATTTTAAGGGCTGTCTCAAATGCAAAATCCTTCCAGTGCACTGGAACTTTCACTCCCTGAAAAATCCCACAATGCACCACAAAAACCAGAGAGCATCCCTGAAGTGCGAAACATAAAACACGTTTTGAAAAGACCATTTTTTATATTTCGGCAAAAACACACATCTCTAGGCAGGAAGAGAACACGTCTAGTTAACATTTATAATTAATATTCGTTTGGGTGTGTTCAAACGTGATTGGGACTGAACTCTTCTGGAAAGTGGCCCTCCAGGAGTAAAATTAGACACCCGTTTTAGGAAGTACAAATGTTGATATCATCGGTAAAGTGAATATAAATAATAAAAATATATAATTATATATTTATTATAAATGTATGATAAATATCTCAATCTTATATCATTTAGTTGTTAAATATTAGTGTGATGATAACTTCTCTAATTTTTGAGTGCAGAGGTGACAATCTGAACATAGTTTGGGACGTTCTTTGAGATGTCCTCTGAAACTCAAGGCCAAACACAAGTGAGATTACTTTTTCTTGAAAGAAAAATCTGAGAAACTGAAAACTTAAGAGGAAGCATTCAAAAAAGCAATACTTTACTTCTGCCCATCATTCATATTTATGTCTGTTGCAGTTGTTTTAACTGTCCTGCATATGACTGGAATAGATTACAGCGTCTGTATCTTGACCTGCCTCTCTTGCCACCTGAGGGTGTCCTCGACTCGCACGAGTTATTGACATCTCGTCTCACAGGGGAACGTTACTTCAGTAGCACATGATGATTCATGTCTAAATGACAGCGCTCATTGTGTCTTGCGAGGGAAGATAAAGTTCAGACATTCCTGACATTCCACCGCAGCCTGGGGAAGTAATCAGCTTCTTAAGTTGACTCAATTACTCATCAGTCTTTACAGGAAAGATTGCAGTCGCCTCATTGAGCGCACACATGCACCAGCTGATCCATGCTCAAAAACCTCTATGTTAGATTCATTACCGTGTAAAAAAAAAATTAAAAATCATATGCTGGTTCGATATGTTTTGAAGTATGGCAGCTGATTTAAGATGGTCCTTAGTTGGTCATGAGCTGGTCCTGAGCAGGAGCTAGTTGCATTGAACCAGTGTTAATTTTGACAGCAAATTTTGATTTAGTTTTAGTCATAGTCTTTTGACTAAAATGCCATTTAGTTTTAGTCATATTTTAGTCATCTGAATTGTTTTTAGTTTTAGTCTAGTTTTAGTCGACTAAATATCATAAGATTTTAGTCGACTAAATCTACAGTAAATTTAGTCGGCTAAAATCTAATGGGTATAGTTACAGTGCATTTATTAAGCATTTCTCTAAAATTTCCAAACTCATTATATAGGTTTGATATTAAGGTTTTATCATGATAGACACCGATTTAACTGCGGTGATACACAACATACCTTTATGTTCAAATTAAATAAAATAAATAAATAAATAAAACCACTTCTCACAAAGAACAAGAACATGGTCTACTTTTTAATGAAATACCAATGGTTATATAGGCTAATTATGCATTCTTTATAGCAACTTGTTTACCATATTCTTCATTCTTTCAAGCAGACATATTTATTTATTCAAAAAGAGTTTTAGTTCATTATCGTCTCGTTGTCGTCGGTGAAAAAAATGTAGA